ACCACAAGCCAAAATAACTCTCCTGCTTCAAGTTGCTATATCCAGATACTATGGTCACAGTGATGAAAAGCTGACAAAAGGCCCTATGTGATAGTAATTATGATTCTGGAAAGCCCTGGGGAGGATAGCTCGATTACAATCAGGCCAAGAGAGGCCCTGTGTGATGTCTGCTCTCACAGCTATTAAAAGAGCTGCTTTCGCCCTCTTATCCCTGTGTAATATGATTCTGGTTTTCCTGGAAGAGGGAAAATTGCCCAGCGGACTGTGTCTGCAGTCCCCAACAACCCCTCCTACCTCATGATATTGCCTCTGATCTACTTTAAGGACAAGAGTAAAATGTACATCAATAAACAGAAGCACACTGCAGAGGCTGGAGGAGAGAGGCTGCTGCCCAAGCCCGAGTCTGAACTGCACACACACGCACACGGTGGTCCTGGACTTCAGGGGCTTCAATTCACAGCATTTCCACTTACAATAGTGTGAACATGATACACACTCAGCAGAAAACATTCTTCCAAATTCTGAATTTGGATCTTTTCCCAGAATAGCAATATACATTCCAATACTCTGGATGCCGAGCAGCAACCGTGAGCAGCAGCTCCCAGTCAGCCCTGCCATCATGAGGGGCCAACAAATGACACCCCACAGTGCACTATGCTGTTCAGCTGGGGTGTTCTGTAGGTTATGTAGTAAGTGCATTTTTGATTTAGGATATTTTATACTTGTCCTAAGGGTGTATTGGGACACGTGTGCATGAGAAACATCTGTGTATGTATATGCTTCTACATGGATGCATGAATGGATGAATGGATGGATGGGTGAATGGATGGATGGCTGGGTGGATGGATGTATGAATGGATGGATGGGTGGGTGGATGGATGGATGTGTGAATGGATAGATGAGTGAGTGGACGGATGGATGAATGGGTGAATGGATGGATGGATGAATAGGTGAATGGAAGGATGTGTGAATAGATGGATGGATGGATGGATGTGTTGATGGATGGATGGATGATTAGATGGATGAATGTGGTGATAGGTACATACCTGGATGGATGGATAATGCCAGCTTTGGACATTAACCTCTCCATGCCTTGGTTTCTCCATATATAGCAAACTTTCTGATTAAAAAAAAACAACAATATAATCTCTAACGTTCTTAGAACCAAGCCTGGCACACCAGGAAGCACTATGTGAGTGTTAGCTCTTCCCATGTTAGACATGTGGACTGTTGAGAGGCTGGTGGCTAAAGGGCTTGCTCAGTGGCAACCTTCATTCAACAAGGGTGGGAGTGGAACTCTTCCCAGGGAGCTTGAATAAAGACATTTTTATTTTGAAAGAAAAAACACTGCAACTCATGGGCATTTTTTTTCCTTCAAAATTTGGACCTCAGGTACAAAAGGCAGTGTTTTTAACTTAATCTTCTCAAGACAGAAGCAATTTCAGTTTAATCCCTATCATTTACCACAGTATCTGGAACAGATAGTGAGTGGAAGGGAGAAAGGAAGGAAAAGACGGCAAAGGAAGGAAGGAGGGAGGTGTGTTCAACAGACAGCTTCTTTCAGATCGGCCACTGAATGCTCATTAGATGCAGGGATTTGGGGTTCCTACCCATTAGAGACAGATTCAAACCTGAATAGTGCCACACCATGTTACACACAACAGATCCTCAACTGATGGGATCAGGTGGGAGGAACRACCTTGAACCTGAAGAAAGCATAGTTGCAGAATGCACCATCCTCCTGAGATGACGGCAGGGCCAAGCAGCTCTGCTCCCAGCCTCCTCTGCCCTGCACCTGTCTGGCCCTTGGCAGTTCATTATGAAAATCTTGTTTATTCCCATTATTTCATGAGGCTAGAGAGAATTCTGGTCAGTTTCTGCTGGTTGGCTAGGGACTGAGGGGTTTCCTAAGACAGGGGACTTAGTTTTAAAACTAGGACAGTCCTGGGCTAAGGGAAATATGGAAAACCCCCACAGAACCTTGTTTTTCAGACTTTCTGGGCTTCTCTAACTTAAGAGGTATTCACAAACTGCTTCCCTAAAGAACAGTGCTCCTTCTAGCCAAAGGGAGGCTGCACAAGGTCTGCAGGAAGAAGAGCTGCAGTCACATGTTCCTTGGGAATGTCCACCTTGTGTCCTGGTGTAAGGAGACAGATTGATGAGAATGTTGGGAACATGAGCATAAAATGGGCTCACTGTGCTGACCCCCATAAGCTTCCTTTACCCCAAAGCAATTTGCCTGTAGCCCTGCCTGGCCTGAGTGGACAGGACATGTCACATTCTTCAACAAACTGGGGCAGGGTTGAAGGTCAGGCAGTCAGTGTAGGTAAGGAATGAAAGGGGTGGAGAGAGGATGAGGACTGGCTATCAAACAGAAAAAAATGAGTTGTTAACCTCTGCCATCATGTTCCTGGGCACTCTGGGTTGCTAACAATTAACCTCCATGTCCCTGCTCTCAGGAAGAAAGAAGACAATAATCAAAAAGAGGGGTTCTGAGGTCTATAAAAGAGTAAGATGCACCCCTTCCTATGGATACCAGCTCTGGGGCCCCTTCTCTTCAGAGAAGTCTGTCTCTGTCTCTTTCTTAAATAAAACTTGCTTTCTATGATAGACTCACCATTTCTTGGGTATTTAAACTTCTGGGGAATAAGGACCTATTCCTGATCTCTAAAGGACCAGTATCACTAGCTCAGTTTACTGTAACATAATACCAGAGACTGGGTGGCTTAAATAGAAAACATATATTTCTCACAATTCTGAAGGCAGGAAYCCCAAGAGCAAGGAGCAGACATCCTCAGGTTTTTGGTGAAGGTCTCTCTTGGTTTGCCAGTGTTGATCATCTTGTGTGCTTATCTGGCAGGGAGCACAGTAAGCAGAGCTCTCTTCCACCTGTTTGCAAGAGCACAGATCCCATTCATGATGGCTCCACCCTGTGACCTACCTACCTCATGATTCTTCATACTGGGTAGGATTTCAGTATGCATTTGGGGGACAGAGTCAGTCCACAGAATCTTGATTAGATGACAAAGGAAAATGCCATTCATTCAGGATGGTATTTTGTTGCTAATCACTTTGTCCCCTCTTRTTAATCTCTAGAAGACATGGTTATTTAACCTGTGCTACCGTTGTAAAACACAACACATAGAAGAAAACTGTACAAGTCAGTGTTCAATCAATTATCATGGAGTTAAAACATTTCTGAAATCCCCCCAAAAGAAGTAGTTTTTAATGGATAAAGAACATCTGTTTAAGGAAGAGTTTTCTTTCTCTTTCCTGAGACACTGAATCTCTAGATCTTGATTCTATACATCCTTGAGCTACCTACATTCGTGCCAGAATCCCATACAGAGCATCACAAGATGCTTCTGGTGAGCCTCTTCCAGATTGCCTGTCAGCAATGAAAAATGTTACCTAACCAACATTTAGAATTACTGTTTTAAAACAAGAGATACATTTGTCTGCATATATGTTTCCTTTCCCTTTCTTTCTTCCTTTTGGAAGATCATTCTATGGGTTTATTTTCCTATATCCTGTTCATTGACTCAAATTTTCATGTAGGTACAAGATGTGAAAGGCCCTACATTACATTACCCGTGGGGATAAGTGATATACTGTTATAATAATATACTGTTATAAATGTTGCAGAAATGGTGGTGATAGCTATATCTTATAAATCTGACTCATTTTTAAATTTTGTTTTGTTTCTTTTTAAGCAAGAAACTGAGGCCACATGACTGCCACATATTATAGGCTAACTGGAATCCAGGAGGTCTGTTGTGTGGGCACAACCCAATTAAGCTGAGCACTCACTGAAATTGCTTTCTCRGCCAGGATGGAAAATGATTGATCACAAGTCAAACCACACATTAGACTGAAGGAGTTTACAGGTAAATCTGGCCCAAGGCCATTGCCATTTCATTTTGATGGGTGGAAATGTGAAGTGATTAAGTGAGGCAGGGAGTAGATCCTTCAGATTGGGGGGCAGGGGTATGCAGGGGAGACTGGCTTCCATGTGTGGCTGCAGATGGGATATTCACCTGARCCAGTGGCTCACACTCAGTGGACTTTAGGAACTTCCTGAAAAAGGGCAAGTGTGCTGAGGACTCACCTAAGCCCAGTGACCCCTGATAGATATGTTTACTGAGCTCCTGCACTGGGCCCCTGCAGACCAGACCAAGCTGGAATGGAGTCACTTGTGCAAGTACCTGGTTATCAAACTGAACTTCCAAGGAGGCCAGTTTTCCTAAAGCAACAGAAGATTCCAGCCCACCTGAACCAGCACAGTAAGGAAGCTTCTTCTGTTTTAACCACATAAAGAGAGTAGCCGTTTGTTAAGCTCCTTTCTGCATGTAACTGCCAACCTCCTCTGCTCTGCTCATCGCCAATGCACATTTTATTTTCAGACTCCAATAAAAGCCAAGTAGCTCTTTAGGTCTGTGTAACCTTGTYTTGACACTCCTCATCTTGAAGGTGGCTGTCAGGCCTCAGGGTAAGCTCACAGCTGCCGGGGCGGCTCTGGGACGCCGCGTGGTCACGAACACTGCACTCACGGGCTGCATGTAGCCAGGCCTGCTCCTTTCCGAAGCCTGCCCAGAAGCAGAGGGGCAAGCCGCAGCCTGGGGGGTCTGCAGCAGAGGGGCGGCCCCACGGCAGAACTCGGGATGCTGGGCGCAGCAAAGCCTCAGTAGCTGACACCGCCCGCAAGCCCCGAACCCAGGGCCACGCGAGAGCTCGCCCCGCCCCCCGGCCCCGGCGGCTCAGAGGTGCGCAGCTCCCGCAGCTCGCCCAGGCCTGGTCGGAGCATGCGCGGGCGGAGGCGCGGGCGCGGGCGCGGGCAAGCCCCGAACCCAGGGCCACGCGAGAGCTCGCCCCGCCCCCCGGCCCCGGCGGCTCAGAGGTGCGCAGCTCCCGCAGCTCGCCCAGGCCTGGTCGGAGCATGCGCGGGCGGAGGAGCGGGCGGAGGCGCGGGCGCGGGGCGGGGCCTGCTGCTCGGGGGCGGGGCGGGGCGGAGCGGGGCTGACCCGACCCGGACGCGGTGGCGGCGAGGTCTGCTAGCCAGCATGGCGCGCCACGTGTTCCTCACCGGGCCGCCAGGTGAGCGCKGGGCAGCGGGCTGGGGCCCCCCAGAGTTCCGAGCTCGCGCTGCAGCGGCCCCGGCCCCGCAGGACCTCCGCGCCGGGGGAGGAGGCCGGGCCCCGGCGCAGGTGGAGGCGGCTGAGGCCCGGAGGTGGCGGGGCGCCAGTGCGAGACCGGTGGCCGCGAATCAGTGTGGTCCTGGGGCGGAGGTCGTCACCTGGTGTCATTCACTTAGCCCCAAGTAGCAAAGGTCACGTCCACGCAAAAAACCGCTCTTGCCCAAGGGAAATGAAAAGATGGCCCTTCTGAGCCAATGAGTGACCCAGGCCGGGAACGCGGATTCAGTTACCCTGGGCGAAAGGCACCGTGGACAGGTCGTGCAAACTCACTTCTTTCGTCCTGGTTACAGGACGAAAGAATCTCATGAGTCAGTGCACGCTCCAAGTACGCTGCAGTAGGCGGGGCTTCCATAGGCCGCAGAAGTGGCCTTCTTAGCTGCCGCGTGGGTGGAAGCCGAGGTCAGCTCAGAGTAAAGACACAGGAGGTTATGGTGGGTCAGGCGCAGAGGCTGGTAGTAAATGGCTAGGGACTGCGGYACTGCAGATAAGCCTGGATCTTACCTGCAACATTTCATCTCCCCCATCAGGATGCTCCTGTCGGCCAGGCCCAGGACTCTGCAGGGCYTTTAATATGGATAGGGCCTCTTCAGAGCTTCAGAGCTTTAGAGCTTTTCATTGCATGGTGCAGACTCTGGAGCTTTACTAGGCGGTGTGTGTGAGGGGGGATTTAGGAGATCTGGGATTTAAGAGATGCATTTTAGGAGACTGGAATAAAGGGATTTTCCCACCAGTAAGCATTGGCCTGGTCTCCAGCACCCAGCCTCTGACCTAAGCATGGCCCCTGTTGTTTCCCAGGTGGAAAAGTGAGGAGGGTGAACCTGGGAGGAAACAAAGCTCAATTCTGGATGCAAACTCGTCTTGGTAGCATCTTGGAAGCAGTCTGTACATGCTGGGGTTGCATATGAGACAAAGCTGAGGATGTTTCAGAACCTGAATAAACTTCAGGATGCCATTCATGTTTTCACTGTGTTTGTTTCTGCTAGCATTGAAACGTTTGTAACACCTGGAGCAATCAAGATCAGAGTGAGATTCATATTCATAAATCTGAGTGCAGCCTACTTCTCTGCCTCCCTTTGTTGCCCTTCTGGAGTGGCACGTGTTGTGTGCTACATACAGGGAGCACCTCCTGATAGACCTCTTCTTTGTGTTTTTCAGGGGTTGGAAAAACAACCTTGATCCAGAAAGCCAGTGAGGTTTTGAAGTCCTCTGGGGTGCCTGTGGATGGATTTTACACAGAAGAAGTCAGGCAGGGAGGGAGAAGGACAGGATTTGACGTTGTCACTTTGTCTGGCACGCGGGGGCCTCTGTCCAGAGTTGGGTATTGATGCTTCATTTCTGTGGGTTTTATCCTTAAGCTGCCCTTCTATCCAAGTTCAGAGCTTTTATATTCTGACTCCACCAGAGCTAAATTCTCCAAAAGTGCCCTGTGGGGTTCTTGGATGCCACTCTGCCTCCCTTTCCCAAGGGTTCAGAGTCCGTGTCTCCCTGAGCTTGGGGCTGAGCCCGATGACCTCCTCTATCTTGAAGTATCTAGGGCTTGAGAGATGTGCCAGAAAAAGGAAATGGAGACCACTGTGGGAACAATAAGCACAGAAGGCACYACCTTTCATTTGGAATGTGGGCCAGAGTCCTGTGCTTTTTTCCCGTGGTAACTCATGGCCCTGTGTCTGGCCAGACAGCTTGGGCACTGGGGCTGCAGGGCTGTGGTCACGCTGCAAGGCCCTGGTGGGATGCAGACAGGCAGTGTGATGCAGTTCTCAGGAGAGGAGTCAGCGGGACCAGTGCTCAGAGCAGCCTCTTCACTAGGTGGTTGCTGAGGTCGGGGTGGATGTGCAGAAGGCCAGTGCTGCAGTGGGCTGCCAAGCACCAGAATCCACACCAGACCCCTCCTCAAAGCAGTGTCTTTTCTTTCAGTCCAGACCCTGTGCCTGGAAAGCGCGAGTGCCGGGTTGGGCAGTACGTGGTGGACGTGACTTCTTTTGAGCAGTTGGCACTTCCTGTCTTGAGGAACGTGAGTATGTGTTTCTGCCTCCTGAGCCTGCCTGTGCTCTGCGTCACGGAGGCTCCAGGGGAGCAGAATAACATTTGCTCCTTCAGGGAGGACAGTTGTGCAGTTTATGATTTAAACTGTCTAAACAGTTGAGCTAAGGAAATGCAGCGTGAGATACCCTGGGATGCACACGAAGGCCTTGCCTCTTGATTGGCATATACAGGTACTCCACTAGGGTGACCAGGAGGGCTCTCAAGTTCAGCTACCCACACCACAAAGATTGGACTGCCCTGCTTCCCTGAGTATGGAGCCCTTTCTCTGTTACTGTTCATTGCTGGGACTGAGGGGTCTGCATCTGTGTTCAGAGGCCTGTATTGTCACTTTATTTTCTTGGCATCTTTGGCTTTGATCTTAGGACAATGCTGGTCTCCCTCCTCTGATTTTTGGAAGACTTTGTGAATGGTTGGTATTCATTTTTCTTTGAATGCATGGAAGCCACACAGGCCTAAAAAGCTTTTCATGAGAAGCTTYTTAATTATGAGTTTAATCTCTATTTGTTATACATCTGCTGTTTTTTTTTTTATTTCTTACTGGGTTCATTGTGGTAATTTGTGCCTTTTGATAATTTGTTCATTTCATCTAAGTTACAAATTTATTTTATTTTGTAAACTTAGTTGTGTTGAAATTTCTTTCATTCCTTCTTTATTTATAGCGCTTCTCCTGTTTTTTCCCTAATTAGTCTAGTTAAAGGTTTTTCAACTTAGAGGATCTTTTCAAAGAACCAGCTTTTGGTTTTGTTGACTATTATCTGTTTTTGCATTTATTTGTCACATATTATCAAGTCCTGAATCAAGTTCAGGGTCATGAACAAAACATACATAAGCTCACCTCTGGAGACTTAGCCTAGCAGGCTGTGGATGTGAGTGAGGCTGGGACCCCTGCTGCATCGCTGTGAGAGCATCGAGGGGTGGGCAGGGCCGGGGGGCCAGGAAGGGGTCCCTAGGAGCTGATATCCACCAAGAGGAAGCCAAGAGGAGAGACTATTGGGATGACTGGGGAGGGGTGGTCCAGGGAGAATCTTCTAGGTGGCAGGAGGAGGAGGAGGAGGAAGAGGAGGAGGAGGAAGTAGGATTGGTGAGGGTGGGGCCGAGGTACAGGCTAGGGGCCTTGCTGCGGATCTTAGACTTACTTTTGTGAAATGGAGTGGTATGAACTTGTCTCAAGAACCTGTTATAAACCTTCCAGGGCTTTCTACTGCACCAGGACTGGAATCGACTTCCTTGTTGCCCACAGATGTCAGGGCCGTGCCCGTCTTAGGCTCCCAGCACTCACCATCTTTATAGCTGGCACTCCTTCCTCCTAGCTTGGGCCCTTCTGCCCCTCATCCCCAGAGTGCAGTTGAGCAGTKCGGGGGAGACTTTGGTGGTTGTCAAGACTGCTAGAGTTGATATCCAGCCTGCCCAGGGTGCCTCAAGTGGGCAGGGTCTTGTGCCCTGGTTGGGGGGCCACAGCAAAGGGGTTCAGTCTCCTTGGCCTCCTCAGCTGTGCTCACCTCCCCCTCCTTGTTYTGCTTTGAACCTTCCCTGTTCTGATCCCTGGGAACAGTAGAGAATGTGGTATTTTTCCTTAAAATACCTCTAAGTGTCCAAACAGCAAGTGAAATGCGTCTAATGAAATTCCCAGTGAAGAGCCTGGCTCTGAGCATCAAATCAATACACTGAATTGATTTTTACTTCCCGTCGGCAGGCAGAGTTCTGGGAGAGAGGGCGCGTGCCTCATGTCTGGCTGCAGGGTTACATAAGTGTCCCCGTACTGACCACATCAAGAACCTGCATCTGTCTTCTTAATTAGGAAACAGACAAGTTCTGTGCTGACCAGCAGCCCAGACCTTCAGGTGCCAGGTGGGAGCAGCCCTCCACTGGGCATCCCTGCCCAGTTAGGGCCTGGATTTGTTTTCTAGAGCTAAAATATTTCTCCCCTCCGTCCCCCACATTATTGTAATGAAGAAAGGAGAAGGAACCAGTAGTTTAGCTTTTATAAAAACAAAAAGATTAGGCAACAAAAATAGGGGCAGATGGGTTTTGCTGTTGGCAGGTGGTGACCAGGTGGGCCGGAAGCTTTGGAAACCCCAGTGGGGCAGGTGAGGCCCTCCAACCAGGGCTGCAGTGTTGAGCTTGGGGCGCCAGGTCCTAGGATAGGCTCTGACAAAGTGCCTTACAATGTGTAAGAGCTTCACTAGGGTGAAAGGCTGGTTGAGTTCTTTTAAAAATACTCTGACAAATTCTCGGTTTGGACCAGCGTGGCTTGCCCATTCGTCCCCAGGGAAGCAGGATGGGCTGGGAGCTGGCAGCAGCTTGGGGTAGGGGAGGCYAGGAGGCTCAGGTTGCTGCCTTAGCGTGGGTGTCTGCCAGTCTCTGCAGACAGAGCGGAGATAGAGCAGAGCAGGGGAAGGGAGGAGGGCAGGTGTCTGTGGGAAAGGATCTAGACCTTTAGGAAGCCCCTCAGGCCYGACTGTGTTGATGGCTCACCCCAGGGCTGACACCTCTCCTTGACTGAGGCTGTCACTTATTATTTTCCTAAATATTGAAATTTTTTCTGCACATGGTAAAAGAAATGTTGTACAATATTTAAAAAGAAGAAAGAAAATATGAGTAGCTCAGGCCTTGTCACTGGCACAGCCGCTGTGGGCCTGCTGTGCTTCTGCCCGGCTCTGCCCGGTGTGTCTGTTCAGTTGATCAGAATTGGGGAGCAGCCTCTGTCATTTTATGGGYGTGGTTTGATTTTCCTATGGTCTGAGTGGCCTGGAAGACATCTCATAACTTAATAATCTTCAAAACTGAAGTTTGATGATCTGCTATCTCAGAGTGAGGATTTCATCTTCCATGTAGCTGTGGCCCCTCTGTATGGGCACCTTGTTCCTGTGGGGGAGTGGCCTTGCCACCAAGCCCCCCTCGGGAGCTCTGCACCCACTTGTGCTATCCTCTGTGGAGCCTGACAGGCAGTGTGGGTGGGAGGAGCCTGCRCTCCCAGGGCCACTCTCCCTGCCAGTGTGAGCACAGGCTTGTTTCAGGCACTTTGTGGGCACACTGATTTACACTTGGAAAACACTTCTTAGTTTTGATTTCCATTTTTAAGGTACTGATGAGGTTAAATGGTTTTCAATTAGTTTGGTTTTTTTTTTTTTTTAGTCTAAATTGTTATTTCATTATCTTCCCATTTTTTCCTCTTTGGCTTAGGAAACCTTTTGTAAAGCAGATAACCTTTTTATATTTATTGATTCTATTTTTCTGTTTGTCAATTTACTTTGGGGATTTTTTTAAAAAAACATAAGGAAAGCTTGGTTCTATTCAAAATTAACATAAAATTTTACTTTACTTTTCTTCTTTTCTGTGCTTTTGCTTTCAGTCAGTCCGTCTGGATTTATTTTGACTGTAACACAAGGAGACAGTTGGGTTCCTTCCAGATTCTTAGCTTACTTGCTAAAACCATTTATTAAACAACTCACTTCCAATTAGTGTATTATGCTTCATAAATCATATTTTAAAACCCAAGTGTGTATGATGTTTCAGGGTCAGCTGTTACCTTCTGTTGATCCTTTCATTTTTGTATCAATACCATACTACTTTAATTACAATTATAATTGTAATTTTGTTCTTTGAAAAATTGCCTGTGCGTTCTCATGTGTTGGTCCTTCTGTGTTGCCGGGTGCTGATGGCAGCACGTTGGTGTTGGCTGTCACTGAGTGCAGACTCCATCAGGCTGGAGGCTCAATCCTCAGAATGCTRCCACGGTGTTCCTGTTTTGCAGAGGAGGTGCCCAAAGCCTTGCTGGGTGGCACAGCTTCTGTGAGGTAGAGCTGTCCTGAACTGTGGAATTGAGACTGCGCTGGAAGCCACTTGGGGTGACAGGAACTATGCATAGCGAAGGCCGYGCTGATGGAGAGGACATGGTCGTTTTCCAGACAGCCTCCTTCCCGTGGCCACAGTGCGGTTCCTCCCTCTCCCCTCTTAGCATCTTCCTGGTGCCCTGTTCGCAGGGCTCTGTTGAGAGTGGTCTCCTCTGCAAGCCCTAGTGGCAAGCAGGTTGAACTGCTGTCCTTGGAGTGCCTGTCCCACCAAGGCGTGGCGCCTTGGGGCGCTAAACCCTGAGCCAGGACTGCCCCCAGCCACTTGCCAGTGAGACACAGGTCGTCACCACTCCCTGTAGCAGGGAGTCTGTTCACTCCCCTACAGGCAGCTTCCATTAAGGAGAAGAACAGCAGGCAGCAGAGATCAAAATTCTTCTCCAAAGTTCAAATAGCGATGAACATTTTTACTAGTGTGTGAATTGTTTTGAAAACGGTTGTGGTGAATGCTGCAGGTGTGAGGACAGCAGTCTCYGCACCTGCCGTCGGGTCCGCAGCCCAGCAGGCCGCTGGCTGAGCAGCTCCATGCACATGCTGCTCCCACCCATACATGTGGGGTTCGTGCCTGTGCCTCTGTCCACCTGGACACAGGAGTGCTGCCCGCCTCGGAGAGCGGCTTCTTCATGGTGAGAGGGATTTCTTGGACACAGTTCCTTGTTCCTGGAGGAAGGTGTATGCAGGGTGTGATGCACAGGCGTGGGTGGGGCCTTGGAGTGGGACATCTTGTGTTGGACTCCAGACCCCTCCGTGTACTCTCCGTGGGGTACCCCTATAGGAAATGCGGACACCTGCCTCACAGTGGCCAGAGGCCTGATGGCATGCTCTGCCCAGGGATGCCTGGTGCCCACTCTGAGGGTGTCCATGGAGGGGAGGTTCTGGTCATCCTAGAACAATTGGGGCAATGGGCAACAATACCTGGGAGGCCTCCTGTCACGGTTGGGTCTGTATTTGCCAGGGAACTAGGGCCAGAGCAGGCCTGTTAATCTGTCACGGGCCTCACAGGCCTAAGCCTCCAGAGTGGTACTTGGGGCCCTTGTCACRAGGAGGGGCTCTTTACACTACATGCCGCCTATCAGCTGGCAGGACCTTTTTGGCCCCAGGACAGCTCTCCCAGTCTGGAGGACCTGTGTGTTGGGCTGGGTGACTGTGTGTGAATGGTTAGGACATGTAGGAGGGGCCTCCACCTGAGCCACCTCAGCCCTGAGAGGGACACTGGCGCATTGTGGATCAGCTTCTGCTGCAGCTGGGCCCAAGTGGGGAAGGGCCTAGTGGTTGTCCAGATGTCTCGGAGAAGACTCAGAATCGAAGTCAGGAGGCCAGAATCATTGCTGTCTTGTTTCTTTTAAAGCTGAGGTATTTAGGTGCCATCTGTTTTCTGGGTACATATAAATATAAAGTGTGGTCACTCCTGGGACCATCGCAGAGGAATAGAAATATTGCAGGAAGCCGGGACTTGGAGAACCAAGTGCTCCATGCCGAAAGCTCCTGGGAGCCCTTGTCCTAGGTCTGCATGCAAGGACAGTCTGTGGCCCTTGGGCCCTGCAAGTGGTGTGGCCTAATGTCCAGTGTGTTTCTCCATCCCCAGGTGGGTTCCAGTGGCCCTGGGYGCAGAGTGTGTGTCATTGACGAGATCGGGAAGATGGAGCTCTTCAGCCAGCCTTTCATCCAGGCTGTGCGCCAGACACTGTCCTCGCCGGGGACCGTCATCCTGGGCACCATCCCCATCCCCAAGGGAAAGCCACTGGCCCTGGTGGAGGAGATCCGGAGCAGGCCTGACGTGAAGGTGTTCAGTGTGAGTACCCATCAGCAGAGGCAGCACCCTCGCCGCTCCCCCCTACTGCAATGTCATGAAACCATCCTCTACACGCTGACAGACCATGGGGGTCACGGAGTGTCCTGTCCCCATGGCCCCCTCTTGCCCTCCTGTGCCCCTGCGTCTGCCCCACCACCCCCTCCCACCCTCCCTTGCCCCTGCGTCTGCCCTGCTGCCCCCTTCTGCCCTCCTCTGTGCCTGCGAGTGTCCTTGGYGAGCTCTGCTTGCTGTTCCCACCCCAGGATAAAAGCCTCCCAGGTGCAGGTGGTGAGTGAAAGATGCCAGCTTCTCAGTGGGGCTACAGCAGAGTGAGCACCTGCCTCACATTGGCAAGACCACCTGGCYTGTGGGCCCTGGTGTGATGTTGCCACCGAGCATCCTGTGGCTGGTAAACAGCCATTAGCCTTCAACAGCCAACCAGTGAGGCATGTGCACCTCTCGCATGTGCACTCCCTTGGCAGGTGCTGACTGAGCACCTACCGTGTGCATGGCATTGTTCCACGTCTTGGTGGGTCTCTTCTTAGGGAGCTGTGGCCAAGTGCAGGTGGCCAAGTACATGAGCCGGATGCCCTGTGTGGGGAAGGAAGGCCCAGCAGCATGGCCAGGTGGCCTGGTGGTGAGCAGCACTCAGGGGAGGTCTGTCCCAGGAGRACACATCTCAGTGGAGGCTGGAGTCCTCATGACAGTGGCTTCTGAGCCAAGTGCTGCCCTCCTGCCCCTCTGCGCACTGCCTCTGTGGTAGAGGTTTGTGATGACAGTGTTTGTGGGGTAGAGGCAATGAGTGCCAAAAGATCACAAGATGGCACGTTCATGCTGGAAGGCTGGTAGTGTTAGCACCAGGGACCTGAAAGTCCTGAGGAGGGTCGAGGGAGCTGAGGGCCATGTGCAGAGTGAGTACTGTGTCTTGAGATGAGGCTGCATCCCCTGCTCCAGGGAGGAGGTCGTCCTCCAGGCAGGGCCATCACTGCTCCTAATGAGGGTACATGAAGCATCAGCTCCGAGAGCGCGGGGGGGCCCTTTGTGGTCCTGGCTTATGAACCAGAACGTTGTTCCTTGTCAGCAGACCTTAGCAGCTGACTTACATGTGGTCTTGGGTCCTTTCCGATCCTAAGACACAGTGGATATTTAAAAATGTGTCTGAGAATGTCCTCTGCCTGCAGYGTCCCTGGAGCAGGTACCTGTGAGGAACAAGGACCATGAGGCAGGAGAGGCATGGAAGGGAAGAATCTGAGCAGAGGGGAGGGGTGGGGAAGAGAAGGGAGAAGGCCCCCCACCCCCCCACCCCCACCCCCATTCGGTGAACACACAGGTGGGAGGGGCTGGAGCGCATGGCGTGGCAGGGAGATGCCCCCAGAATCAGTGCCAGGCAAACAACTTTACTCTTCAGAAAAACTTGGGGCAGGGTGGGGGAAATCATGTCTCATTCTCCTCGCTGCCCTAGAGCCTCAATGACATCTGTAGGATAAGCAGAAAGCCTGAGAGATGGGGAGGAGGCAGATGGGCTGGGGACCTCTGGACCCAAACTGTGGCATGATAGACATGGCTGCTGGGAGTGCTTTGCCTTGGGGGAGAAGAGGCGGCCAGCAGATACCAACTTCCAGCCACTGTGTTGGGGTCATGGGGCAGGATTGAGCCTAGCGTCTGGCCACCGTCTCAGTGACCATCACAGGCCCTTGAAGCAAATGAGGAATAGAAAGTCTCAGAGAGAGTGAAAGTCTTATCAAAAATAGAGAAGATAGGAGAATCCCAGGAATATTATAGAACCATGAAACACAGTAACCAAATTAAGAAGTTAATCCACAGGCCCACCCCTCTGGGGTTGACAGAAGAAAGAACTGGTGGATTTGAAGACAGAGCAACAGTTTACCCACAGAGCGGGCCCTGGGGACAGTAAGGCGCAGTCGCCCAGATCTCCCATGTTTGTTAAAGGACACAAACCTACAGATTCAGAAAGYCTGGTGACCCTCAGCAGGATAGACCAAGCGTCCATGCCAAGAGCCTCAGCACCAAGCCTTGGACATTGAGACGAGTCCTGAGGGCAGTGAGAGAAAAGCGGCCCCTGACTCAGGCAGAAGCAGCAACTGCAGAGAACCCTGTCAGGCCAGGGGCTGGAGGTGCAGCTCTGCTCCAGGCTAGGAGCAGCACCTGGGCACCCAGAGGACTCTGCCCAGGTGAAGGTCCCTCAGGAACCTGGGGAGGACACTCTGCGCAGAGGCAGAACTGCACACCATGGCTGCGTGTCCCAGGCTCTCCAGATCACGTGGGGCAGGTGAGACAGAAGTGAGGACATTCTCTAGTGTGTAAGTAGATGAAGAAAGTCAGTCTCCAGAAGGGAAGCAGAGCCCTGCTCCAGTCGCCTCCACTGCCCCGCAGGTGTGGCGGGAGAGCTGTGGTGGACCTGCCACCTGCCCTCGGGAGCTTGTGGGTGCTGCTCTCTCCCCTGCAGGCTCCCCAGTGAGGACAGCAGCCTTGCTGCATGGAGGGGACATGCCAAGCAAGCGTGCATGGGATACATCCAGCTATGGGATGCGTCCAGCCATGGCTGGGCAGAAGGGAAGGCCAGGCAGGGTGGACAGKTCTCTGGAGGGACCAGAAGGCCTCTACAAGTGCTGCTTGAGCACCAGCCTTAGGCAGGGGGAGGATCAGGCTAGTGGTTACCTGGGACAAGAGTTTGTCTCCAGTGACTAACTTTTAAGCTCGGAGTGGACTTTGGCATTGCTGCCATTGGTCTCTGTGAGAGAAGTCACCGACTTGTTCTGCCTTCCAGCCTGCATCACAGCATTGGCAAGGTTCAGATCCTCTGCAGTGGGCGCCTCGGGTGCCATGAGCCTGGCGCCTCGCCTGGCTCGAGTCCCTGGCTGCAGCCGGGGTGCTGTCTGGCCTGTAGGCTGTGTGTGCTGCCTGCTGCCCTGGACATGCTCCTGCCTTGCCGGATGCTGTCCTCCCCTGTTCCAACAGAAGCTGAGCTGCTGATGTTGGCAGTACCATCTCGGTCAGCCCAGGTGCTTCCCTGACCTGCTGTGTGCCGCTGGGTTCCTGGTCCTGCTTGTTCTGCCTGGAGACCTTCCAGCCACAGGAAGGTCTTGGAGGTGTAGGAACTCTGCCGAGGCTTGGGCACTGACCATGACCTTCTTGAAGTTATGCTGGTCTTTCAGGACTTTGGCCAAATTTTTTCATGGCTTCTAAAGCCTATTGCTCTCTAAATATAACCACTAAAAACTTTTTAAAAATTTTTAAAACTTATTTTAGTATTTGGCTAATGGAGGCTAATTATGAAAACAACAGGTAATGGCTGTGTTGATGCTGGAGAGGCAGAAGGTGAAAGCCTTTTGGATCAAGGGGACTGGAAAGGGTGATGTGTACTTTCTGTAGTTTCCTGATGAACAGGGCAGAGTAGACCCGCAGGCTGGGAGTGTGTGTGGAGGCTCAGCCTGCAGACTCGCCCCACCAGCAGCATGCAAGGCGGGAGGCAGCATCCACCAGAGCCTGCAGCAGCAACCGTGCCCACTGTCCTCCGTGATTCCAGAGTCTGAGCACTGGCATGATCCYGCAACTCTGCTGCCTCCGTTCCTGGAGATAAAGGCACGTGGTTTGGCCACAGGAACTCAGATGCTTAGAAGTTATTTGATTTTTCTGCTTTATAAAAGTGTTAATTTAACCCAAATCTACTTTCATGGTCAGAATCCAGAGCCCTTTAAACTTGGTTCTTTCACAAAGCCATTTTTATTCTTTCAGTTGTCACTTTGGGGTTGCAGGATCACAAGCGTACTAGATGCTAGGTCCCAACTTCTAATATGGAAGTTTTTAGACCTCATGCTCTTCTTCCTGTGTGTATGTTAAACAAAAATAGGACATAAATTGTTTTCTTTTTACTGGGAATTCTGTACCACACACCTGCTCTCTGGATGCAGAGCCAAGGCTGGAGCTCATCCRCCAGATGCTGGATACAGTGAGATCAGAAGTCAGTGGTGGTCAGGTCTTTGTACAGAAATTGAGAGGCCAATCCTGAAATGCACATGAAAATACAAGGGGCCCAGCTGATTAATCTGCAAAAAGAACAATGTTGGAGGACTCACACTTGCTGATTTTAAGTTTCACTCAGAGTAGTTGAAACTGTGGCACTAGTGCAGGGTAGACATGGAAACCTTCGGAAGAAAGTGGAAAGTTCAAAAACAGACTCTTAGTCTGTGATCAGTTGATTTCTGTGAGGGAGCTTGGGTAGTGCAATGGGGAAAGAGCAGTGTTTTCCACAAACGGAGCCGGAATACTGGATAACCACATGCAAAAGAATGGAGTTGGGCCCTTGCTTCACACTGGGCACAAAATGAACTCAAAATAGGTCATAGATTTAAATATAAGAGGTGAATCTATAGAACTCTTGGGAGAAAATATAGGACTCAGTCTTTGTGAACAGCAGCTAGGCAAAGCCTTGTTTGAAAGAACACCGAAAACTTAAATGACAAAGGAAAAATAGGTAAGTTGGACTACACCCAGATGGTCAGCCTTTTGCTTCAGAGCCTCCAGCCAGAATGGAAGACAAGCACAGAGGGGAGAAGAGGCTGGCAAATAATGTACCAGATGGGCCGTGGCCAGAGTCCCACACCTGTGGTCCTGCTCACATAGTGTCCAGCAAAGGCAGAGTTACCAGACGGGGTAGAAGTGGCCAGGGAGGGTGGGCGAGGGTAACAGGATGGGGTTTCTGTGTGGGGTGATGATATGTTCTAATCTTAGATAGCATGAGGATTGTGGACTCTGAATGTGCTAAACACTGAATTCTACTCTGGAGGTGAGTTTTATGATGTATGAATTATGTCTCTGAAACCCCACCACCACCACACAGAGAAATCAGGTAGGAGGTCCACCTGGAAAACCCAGGCACCATTGCCTTCTCTGGGAGACACAGGTCAACACTTATGACCACYTCTCTTCTGCATGTGGAGAGAAGCGTAGTGCCATCTGGGGCTTCCCCTTCTCACAGAGCCACTGATGAGGTCCTGGGACCCCACCTGGTGCCCTCATCCAATCCGAATCATCTCCCAAAGACCCCAGCCCTAAATGCCATTGTGCAGAGGGATTAGTTTCTCAGACATGGACCTTGGTGGACAGTCAAACCAGAGCTGGCCTGCTGGGGCCCACTGCTCCTCTCAGGCCTGCCCACACTGGCCTCTGCAGGCCTTCAGTGTACCCCTTCCTCATACCAGGTGTGTCTCTGCTCAGGTCCCTCCATGCCCAGGTGCACCCAGCTATGGAAGCCCTGGGCTACCCCTCCAAGTCCTGTGCCTCCCTGGCCCCTTCTTGGTCACCCCTGCCCCCATTCACATTACCCGTCTCCTGGTCTGTGAATTCCACGATGTTAGGGTCCTTTCTGAGATGTTCTTGCCTTTGTGTGTGGAGTGGGTGTCCATGTGGGCCTTGGGGGGCACAGTGACAGGAGGAGTCAGCTTTGCCCTCCTGAGCCCTCTGCGTTCTCTAGTTCTGCTTGAGTCTGGCAGTGAGGGCCGGAGTCTGGCGGTGAAGGTGGTGAGGGCCGAGTCTGGCTGTGAGGGAGACATGCAGCAGCAGGGCAGGTGGGGCTGGAACAGGCTCTGGCTGTCTTGATTGACCTGTTTGTGTTTGATGGAAGACTCATGCCTTTTCCTGTCACTTCTCTGGCTCRGCCCCTCCTCTTGCAACACTCAGGTCCGCCAAGTCCCTGGGGGGCCAGGTAGTTCTGACTTGGGAGCACATTCAGGGTTCTGGGTGCCCCTGGGTCTCTGGTGGCTCCTTCTGTGGCAGTGTGACTGTCCCGCCTGCCCTCCCAGGGATTGAACCCAGGATGCTTAACCACTGGGCCTCAGCCCCGCCCCTTTTAAATTTTTCTTTTGGGACAGGGTCTCACTAAGTTGCTGAGTCTGGCCTTGAACTTGGATCCTCCCGCCTCCGCTCAGGGTCACAGATGTGCACCACTGTGCCTGGCTCCTGGCACTTCTTGAGCTGTCTCTGCAGAGCTGACGGTGGGACTGAGACACCTGTCCCATCCCAGAGCGTCCCTGGCGAGCTGGCTTTGGCTCCCTCCCAGACTTCCTGGCTCTCCTTGTCCGTGTTTCCTCTCAGGGCAGAGGGAAGGAGGGAGCTCTGAAGCCTGCTCTTTGCCTGTCCCACAGGTCACCAAGGAAAACAGAAACCTCCTTCTACCGGATATCGTGACGTGGGTGCAGAGCAGCGAGAAGTGAGGTGGGGCTGCTTCCTGCACTGCTGCCCTCAGGAGGCGCCCAGTGGCCTGCTGYGAACGGCCATGCCTCAAGGCTTCTGGACCTTGCGGTCAGGAAGGCTGACAGCTGCTTCCCACAAGGTTCAGCAGGTCAGGGTGGCCGTGTGCTGACCACAGCCCCTCACAGCCTGCTCATGCTCAGGGCTTTCTGTTCATTCCTCCTCAGCCGTGCATGGTCTGGTAAAGCAGGAACCAAGCAAAGGTGCTAGTAGTCACTGGAATTTGCTCCACTAAAGTTTGTCCTTGTGTTGCCATGTGGACAGCAAGCTCACTGCCTGTTCACCGCAGGTGCTGAAAGTGAAAGAYCTGTCCAGGGTTCTGTCTCCTGCAGCACGAAGTCTTGTTTCCTAGGAAAGCCACTTGGGGTTCTCCTCCATCTCTTGTGTATTTCTTCATTAATTGCTAAATAAAATTAAAGCAAACCTGGTGTTTCAAATGCACGGGTCTTTCTGTGGGTGGGCCATCTGGCCTTGGAGCAGCCAAACCTGACACTCWGGCTGAAGGGCAGCAAGAGCTTGGCCAGGTTCCTTCAGAGCTCTACCTGGGTCTTTGGCTTAGGTGCATTATTTTAACTTTTGAGCCTTGTTTCCCTTCCAGGRAAAGGGCCAATGGCTGTCCTCAAAGCAGGTGGTAAGAATTCAGAGCGAACTATTCTCAGCACTGGGCTGGCGAGTCAAGAGGAAGGTCAGCCCATAGCAGAGGCTCTATAGAAGAGGGAGGTAGAAAAGCCTAGGCACTGTAGGATTATAAGACTGCCCCCCATGGTGATCCTCGAGTGACAGCTCCGTGTTTTCAGGTCATTTTGGGTGAAGATCTGTGATTTTCCTGGATTTTTTAGCAACCAGCTATGGCACYCCTGCTCTGTAACCGACAGGGCTGGGCACCTGCAGGTGGCGGCACCTGTGTGGCACACAGGCAGGGCCCAGGCACAGCCTCTGAGCAAGACCAGGGCCTGCAGCCAGGCAGAGCCCTGGACGTGTCCCCTGGAGGGACCACAGCAGGTGGCCTCCAGACTGGGAGCTAATCCCTCAACCAGGGCCTCCTGCCCAGGAGCAGGAGAGGCTGCCTCCTTCCACTGTCCCTGTCCTGGTGGCCAGGTGCTGTGTCAGGGTGGGCTGTGGGGCTCAGTGGGCCAGGATGGCCGCCACCACACCTGGCAGCCTGACCCAGCCAAACTCTGAGAGCAGCACAGCCTTGAGGGGGGCCCCTGCCAACCTGAGGAGAAGAGGGTGGAGGGAGGGGACAAGGAAGGGCTGGGGAGATGTCCCTCACCTGCATCCTGGAAGCCCCAGTGCCACCGCCCAGCAGAAGCAGGACTCACATGGGTGCCTTTCCTAGGCCTATAGCAGTGGTTGTGTGCTCCCAAGTAGGAATGTGTCCCCCTGCACTGTCCCTGTGCTTCAGGGTGATATTGGCTGAACCCTGGCTTTGTCTCAAGTCAGGAAACCAGTGAAACTTATTTCAAAGAAGACAGAATGGCTGGCTTGGGGCTTTGTGCTCAGGCAGGGTGTGGCACTCTGCTTGAGGGTTGGCACCAACTCTGTGGCCCCTGGCTGGGGCACTGACCAGCGTASAGGGGCAGTTGAACTGTCTGAGGGGCTCCAGAGCAGGCGCTCTTGCCAGCACTCCCTGTGGGTCCTTCAGGCTTTCTGCATCTTAGTGTGCCATGTGCCCCAAGCCTTGCAGGTGACGTTTAGCTGTGACACTGTGGCAAGTCCTGTCGTGATTATTGTATTRCCATGTCAAAGAGAATGCTCAGGGCATGTGTGAAGGTGCCAGATGTAATCCCTGTCTCAGGATGCACCAGGGGCTCCAGGAGGGCACCATGGGTCTGCAGCTGTCCTGGATCCCGACATAAGGGGCTGACGTGGTGCAGCATTTTGGCGGGAACAAGAGGCTGTGTGATGTAGAACCAGTTGGGGACTGGCTTGCTGCCCACGATCCCTCCTGTCCTCGGCAGTTCTGCCACCAGCCACGCCACACGCCAGGCTTTACAGATGGACTCCTCTCAGCTCTGAATGGGGTGACTCATGGAGGGAGGAACAAGCCTCTTAAATTGGCCGACAGGGAGAGGCTCCCAGTGCAGTTGCTTGTCCCAACCACCCCAAATCCCAGGGCGCTGGTGCTGGTGGGRTGCCTTGCCCCTCCCTCCCTCCCTTCTGTCTGGTGTGGCAGGATGCCTTGTCCAGGAGGATGGCACCTGGGTGCCAAGGGCAGGTTATAGCACCTGGACCTGGGTGGATAGGGAGGGTACAGGGGTCAAGGCGCATGCAGATCTCAGAGGCAGCAAGATGTTGGGTGTTGGGCGTCTGAGAGGCATTTGTCAGGCAGGTGCGCAACATGGTGCAGAACTTGGCCTCCTGACTTCTACACAACACAACACGCATAGTGTTACGTCACTTTGAGGAGGGAACTTTTCATCCAGGGTTCAAATACAGAAAACAGCTGTGTGTTGGGAGAACTTGTGAGTGCCCTGGCAGTAAGTGCCAACCCAGCCCCTGCAGGGCCCAACCTTGGTGGGAAGCACTCTGCTGCGGCCAAGCGAGTGCCTGAAGGCCCAGGGCGCAAGCTCCTGAGCTGTGGGTGTGAACGTCTGTCCTGTGCCAGGATCGAACACAAAGCTGCAGCTGACAGTCAGTGCAGCTTGCACGGCCACAGTGACTCCAGTGCCATGCCCCTCTTGGTGGTGCCTRTGGGCACCCACACCTCAGCATGCATGCTCAGGATGCCCAAGCTCCTTCCTGCACAGCAGGCGGCACAGTGAGGAGCAGCCCATGGGGGTGAGAGGGCGCACCAGGCCTCACCTCCCATGCACACTTCTCTGCAGGTGGGTCCTACCCCCTCCTCAGGAGTCCCCATCTGCTCTGTTCTGGGTCCCCAGGAGTGGCTGACTGTGCTCCAGATTGACTGTGGTCTCTTCTCACTGAACTCAAAGAACCCAGGGCAGGGCTTCACTCACAACTCAGGCCATGCTTTGTCCTGAGGGCCCAAGAGTGTTTGGGGGGCTCCCAGCCAAGTTTGGTTAGCCACTTAGAGAACTGCTGCAGGTGACATCAGCGTCCCATTGGTCAAACCGCTGTGATGTATAAACAGAACTCGAGCCTGGGTCTCTGGGGCCTGTGGAGCCATGACTCTCCTCTCATCGTGGAGCCATGACTCTCCTCTCATCGTGGAGCCTACCTACTGCCAGTAATCACTGGTCCTCAGCTTTTGAAAACAGAGAAGGAGGCATTAGTGCCTGGGCCAAGGGATAGGGAGACTGTTGTCCTCTGCCCCAGTCTCCAGGGCCGAAATGCCTYGAGGACATTTTGTGACTGTTCGGGACTATATTCCTTTCTAACTCCTGCCGTCCCCACAGGGTGGCCCAGCAGGACAGCATCATGTTCCCATGTACTATTTCTGGACCCCTGACCCTCCTGCATGCCAGCAGGAACACAGGTCTCTGCCTTACCCAGGGGGTCTTGAGGGAAAAAAGTCCCAAATGTCAGCTTTTGCCCCAAATTCACTCTCACCACGTGGGACAGATTTTTCAAAATGGCAGACGTCTCAGCAGAACTCAAGCACCAGACAGACGCGGCTGTAGCTGTAAACATTTTAATTCTTAGGACGAAGGCTGTGCCAGTGTGCTTGTGCTGGAGGGTGGGGGGGTTGCTCAGTGTGGAAGACAGTACGTGGGCCTGGGGCGCATGGGGAGCACGGCCAGGCCAATCCTGGGGCTGGGTGGAGGAGCACCGTGCAGTTCCCCCATGGCTCGCCATGCCCCGCCTCCACCCTGGCATCCTGGCCCTGCCTGGCTGCGCACAGGGCGCTGGAGCCGTGACCGCATGCACTGTCACGGGCTGTGGGAGCTGTGCTGTCTGCACTCCCTGCTGCGTGGGCCCCGGGGAGAGAGGAGATCTTCTCTATGAATCAGCCGCAGTGCACCTGGACAGCTGGTGGCCTCCCGCCCTGTGGTCCACCTCTTCCTCSTGGTGACAGAGCAGTGAGGGCATTGACGAGTGGGAGATGCCAGTGACTCAGCATGCAGTGGCCTTACTTCCATCAGGGCAGAAGGGAGTTAATCACGGGCTCTACTTGGTCTAGTTGGTCTAAGGTATGAGATGGCTTTTGTCTGACRTGTGGGCTCTTGTGCAGTGCTGGGGGAGGGGGCCTCTCCCTCCCCTAGCCCGCCACCGTCACATGGGTCATTTTTCAAAAACCTGAGATAAAGTCAGTGTTTTCTAAGCAGCTCTTGCTTTTCCTGGGAGGAGACCCCAGGGATCGCAGCCGGGCTCTTCGGTTTGGGGTAAGGGGAGGACAGAGGAGGGCTGTGGAGGACGAACTCTCCAGCCAGACGTGCTGGCTATTGCTCATCTGAGGCGCTTTGCTGTGAAGCCGTGTCGTCCAGGCCCATGTCCTCCTGGCTCGCTCTCCTGCAGATCAGCCCCYGGTTCTCTGCCACAGCCTCCGCCAGCCGTCCATCATGCAGCTGCCCCTGCTCGGCTGCATCTGAGGGTTCGCAGGGCTCTGAGAAGTGCTTCCGGAGAGGAGGGAAGCAGGGACATTCAGCACAGGCTCGTGCCCAGGCTCCTGTCCCCCACCCGCATCCTGTCCCAGCAGGGGAACGGGGGCTGGGGTTGTGGAGTCCCTGAAARCAGGCCCTGAAGGGGGGACAGGCCACGACTGAGGGTAGGAAGTGCCACGGAAGCTGCATGTCTCATGGGGACTCCGAAGGCCAGTCCTTTCTCAGAAGGAGGTGGCCTAGGAGGTTGCCGTGTGGCCCTCTCCTGGGTCCCAGGCAGCTCCGCCTCATGCTCGGCCCCAGCTCCGGGGCGACAACAGCACTGCAGGCTGGCTCAGGGACATGGAGGCCTTGGGTTCTGGAGGCTTGTTGGAGACAGGGAAGGGAGTATGCCAGATTCCCAGAACCACCCTCAGATGTGACCTTCCTGCTGGGGATGGGGAACAAGCGTTCATCTGGACACCCAGCTTGGGAAGTCTCCTGGACCACCTGCCTCTCCTCTGGGTCCGCATGGCCTGGGGCTCCAGGAGGCCTGAGTGGCCTCCACGGGGGACATGCCTTTG